GGGGGGGGCGGGGTGTGTGTGGGTAGGTAGTGGGAGAAGGGGGGGAGAGGGTGGTGGGAGAAGTGGAGGAAGGCAAGGAGACCATACTCACCCGGAACAGCGCATAAGTCGCCAAGTAATGCTTACACATCGCCGCGCTCTCAACTTTGAGGGGCGGGTGCGGCATCATGCGCACAGTATCGAGGTCGTAGACATTCTTGCTCACGCGTTTGCGCAGCGTCACGACGCCAGAGAAAGTCTCGGGGGACGATTTGGCGTTGGCCCGCTGGCGTATGTCAGCTGGGTCCACTAATTAACAGCTAGGCTCTTGCTCTGCTCCCTCCTCGAAGACTGGCTCGAGGGATGGCTCGAGGGCTGGCTCGAAGACCGGTTCAAAGCCTGGCTCGAGGGCTGGGAGAGCAGAAGCTCATCTACCGTCGCCTTACCCAGACAAGAGCACTCCATGCCGACCAGCGGCGCAGCGGCGCAGCGGTGGGGTCCACTCACAGTCTCAATAACGGGCCGCTCCCATCCCATCTTCTGACACTTCTCATTCAGAATCGTCACCGGACTCTTGTACCCGACGGGAAACAGGGGCGGGGGTCTTGCCGGCTTATCCTCCGTGTCGTCCTTCCCCTTGCCTCCCTTGCCGCCGCCTTTCGCGTCCTTCGCGTCGTCCTTCGGCTTAGCTTTGCTCGAGTTGCCCGCGTTGCCGGACCGCACGACGTTGACTGGTCTCCGTTTTGGCGGCATTGGTGTTTGTTTTGGTTAATCAGATTGGTATCGAAATTATCACTCCCGCATCGCTCATGTCATGGATCGCCTCCACCCTCATCTTTCTGATCCCGCTACCCAGCCAACACAGCTTGGCCGCGCGCTCCGCTTCGCTACGCGCCAGGCTGATATGGGACAAAAGTTCATGCTGTTTTGCTTTGCTTCTATGTGTCAACACACGCGGGGCTGCTGTAGCGTACATTATGGCCGCAGCGAGCCCGTCTGCCTACACGTACAACGTTCTACTGAGTCGCCCGGCCGCGTTCGTCAGGCCGAGCTCTTTTCGCCTTCATCATCCTCCTCGCTACCACCTTTGCCTCGACTCTAACTCGGGCACCTTCTCTTGCCAAAAGACCGAAGAAACCTCCTGATACCGATATAAAAACTAAGAAAGAAAGGAAAAACGCGAATGACGACCGACAGTCCGGTATTGCGAAGAGCGCATCATGCTGCCTCTGCCTCGCTGGTTTGAGCTTTGGATGCCGACTCCAGCTTCGACTCCACTGACGGGTCCAATGCCGACTCCGCCTCGTGCTCAGAACAGAGCTATTGTTGCTGAGCACCGCCGTTGTGGAGCTGCTGGATGACCTGGCCGAGCGTGCCGGGTTCAAGAGGCGGAAGGTCAAGCGCCTCGCCGGTGAGCGCCGGATCAATGAGCGAGCCGTCCGTCAGACTGTGCTCGAGCGAGTGGGGGACATGCTCGTGCGTAAAGTTGGCAGCGGCCGCAGCAGCAGCGGCAACGACGTCCTCGTCCATGCGCGGCTTCTTGTCGCTCTCGTCGGTCGCCTCAGACTTGCGCTTGCGTCCCGGCTTCTTTGGCGGCTCACCGAGGGCGGCGGCGTTGAGGTCGGCCGCACCAGTGAGGTGCGCCAGAGATTCAGGGTGCAGACCCAGACCGGCTGCCTCGGCCTCACGCGCGGCACGCTCACGCATCTCCTTTGAGCGCTTGCCTGGTCCACGTCGTCGGACCTGCTCGTCATACGTGCAAGTGAGAGAGCGCTTGGCGCAGTGGCCGCACGTCGGACGGCCGCCGTCGCACTTGAGCTTGCGCCCACGACAGAAATGACAGGCAAGGACGAGCTTCTTTGGCTTCTCGACAGGGACACCGGGAACCTCGCCGTTGCCAACGTTCGGGTCCGCGAGGTTCAGGCCGTTACCGTTAGTGGCCTGCGGAACCAGCGACTGAAGTCCACCGTTCTGCTCAGCCGCAGCGCTCGCCTCAGCCCAGTTGGATAATGTGGCAGCCACACCGTTGTAGTCATCGGCGCCAGGCACGTAAGCCGTGTGATCAGCCGGCAACGGCATCACGCCATTAACGTTGTAGTCCGCGCCGGTGTACTGGCCAGTGTAGTAGTGCTGGTACTGGGCCGAGTTGGGGTCCCAGACCTGGTGAAGCTGGTCCGCTTGCGCCTGGTGCAGCTGATCGGCGGTCTGGGCCTGGTGCTGCTGGTCGGTCTGAGCCTGATGCAAGTCGGCAGGCTGACCCTGGTGAAGCTGGTCCGCAGACTGGGCCTGGTGAAGGTCGGCAGGCTGGTGCAGTTGGTCGGTTGACTGCTGGTGCAACTGGTCGGTCGCCTGAAGCTGGTCGGTAGGCTGCTGGTGCAGCTGGTCGGCAGTCTGCTGAGCCTGCTGCAACTGATCGGCCGACTGCTGAGCCTGAAGCTGCTCAGCCGCCTGCTGAGCCTGGTGGAGATCGGCGGGCTGCGCGAGCTGATCAGCCGACGCCTGCAGCTCAGCCGAGGGCTGATGCGCGAGCTGGTCGGACGATGCCTGCTGGGCAAGGTTGTCGGATGATCCTTGCTGGGTGAGGGTGTCGGACGAAGGCTGCAGCTGATCGGCGGGCGTAGGGGTCTGAGACTGCGTAGCCTGCGCCGTCACATCGAGTGCAGCGGCCGTCGTCGCATCGGTCGGGGCAGCAGCCGTGGCAGCCGCCGCATCAGGCTGAGGGGGACTGGCCGAAGCCGACGCCTCTGGCATGGCGGAGCCAGCCTGCTGGGTCGCGTCCTGAGTCGACTGCAGCTTGGCGTTTGGGTCGTGAGCCACCCCGATCACGGTGGTGGACTCTTTTAAGAGATGAGGGTGGAGGGGGAAGGGCGACGAACAGCAAGGGTCTGCTGTCTAAGCGACGACGGGTCGGTTGACAGGACTCGGCGCTCTGCTCGTCGCTTCAGCAAGTGATTGACGACGCGAGGGTTGGCAGGGCGCGCGCGCGTGTGACCGGCGACGCTGTTCAACTTTTCAGATTAGTCGAAGCGACAGGGAGAGACGGCGTGAGGGCTATAGCAGCTAGTATGTACAAGACAAGAGCTACTGCGAAGCTGGAATGACTGGAAAGGAGGTCAGCTCGCCGTTCATAACGCGAGAGGGAAGGTGAGTGACTGTATCACGTGTATACGAGTGCAGCAGCAAGTGGCCTGTGAAGTCTGGCCGTGTGTGTGTGTGTCCCTGGCGATTGGAGAGGGGCGCAACGGAGAAAGGAAGGCCGGGTCGCTTAGGGGAGATGCGAGGTATGCGACTTACAACGATGCTCTGCTAGGATGCACCGGGGGCTGCTCGTCGACTTGCGCGTCGGTGGTGGTCGACGGCTTGAGACGGAGCGATGAGCCGGTGGAGGCTGGCTGTTGTGGGTGGGTGTGTGCGTGCGGGGGAGTGAGGGCGGGGTCAGAGATGGGCAGCGGCAGCGGATTGCAGCGGGCGGATGCACTCTGGCGGAGGGGAGACGCGTGG